ATTTCCAGGGCAAGTGACAGAAAGCACTTCACTCTTCACCTACAAGGAAGGAGAAAGCATCAACACATTTTCCAACACGTCTTTTGAACCAATGTTTATTGAGGACTTCACATTCGCCAACGAAACTCTAAAACAAGAAGCTCTAGAGAAATGTGAAGGTGACGTGAACTGTTTGTTCGACGCAGCCTTGACTAATGATGTTACCATGGGAACGAGTACAAAGATAGTCGGTTCAAATTTCAAAAACGATTCCGAGGCACTGAGTAAGTTAGTCAGCTGGGGATGAATTGATACACTTTTAAGATTCACATGTTATTCTCTTTAGTATTATTTCTCTTTCCACCAGTAACACTTGAGTTACGTGAACATTGATATGGCTCAAAATTTAATTGCCTAGATAATGACCATTTCTCCATTTTAAATCACATGCCATTCCCTTTAATCGACTCTTTAAATACTTCTTATCTTGTAACTAGAAAACTCTGTACCGATGTTTTTCAACGACTCTTTGGCCTTGTACGTGAAGATCAACACAACTGCACGGATAGAGATTTTTGCTAAGGATGACGACGGCGATCCACTCACTTTTTATGTCAGCGGTATACTTCCTGAGACTCTGGATACTAACACAACCTCTGGAGGTAGCGTTGTTATCTCCCGGAAGGTTACAATGGACAAGGTATTTAATTCGGTATTTTTCAGTTTTACGCTGTACTGTTCCGGTTTTGCAAGAGTGGTATTTCAAACCACGTGTCATTCCTTGAGTATGAATATTTTTGTTTACTTGTAACGCATGTGAAGATACATGAAAATTAACGAGGCTCGATCAAATCTAAATCAATCAATCAAATTTCTGAAAAGAAGGATAATAGTATAAAATGGGGGTCAAAACTAACTGGCTTTATTTTTTCTTACAACATGGCGGCAATTGTTTTCATTCGATTTACTATCGCACACTTTTATTTCCTAGATTAAATTTGAAGTTACTGTGATGGACGACAAAGGTGCTGTAGCTTTACTGAGGCCAGAGTTACACGTGTGCGCATGTCACAATGGTGGATACTGCTCTCCAGATTCCAGTAACAACGTATTTGCAGACTCAACCAACGACACATTCTTCATAATGCCGTGTACTTGTATCCATGGTTACACGGGAAGATTCTGTGAGAATGACCTCGATGCATGTCAAGCGAATCTTAACCCATGTTACCCGGGTGTCAAATGTACTGACCTCCCTCCCCCTGAGGATGTGTTTGGTTACCGATGTGGGCCTTGTCCTCATGGCTTCACCGGCGATGGTGCAAAATGCTTAGGTTAGTGACGAAATCGATGAATTGAAATAAGGAGATGGCTCGAAGCTATTTGCACGATACAAAAAATGCTCATATAAAATTCATTGTAGATCTTGACGAGTGTGAGGGTGGTAATGATGACTGCAGTCAGATCTGTGTCAATACTCCAGGATCGTTCGTTTGTGACTGTAACCATGGATACCGATTGAGCATTGACCAAAAGACATGTAACGGTATGTGAATAGATTTGATACTCATTTAGGCGTTTTCTCTGGTCGTTTCGATAAGAATTTTTCCTTGCTCTTTCAGATATTGATGAGTGTTACCCTTCAAGTGACTGTATGCAGAAATGTACAAATACTGATGGAGGGTACACGTGTGAATGTGATGCTGGTTTCAAAGTCGATCCAAGGGATTCAAAGAAGTGTGTTGGTAAGTTAAAAAACCGCATCCGTCCATTCATTCTTCGTTCCTTTCTTCCTTCGTTTCTTTCTTCCTTCCTAGTCTCCTTCCCTCCCTCCTGCCCTCCGTCCCATCCTCCCTCCATTTATCCATTCTTCCTTGCATCTGACCCACCCGTCCATCCTTCTATCTTTCTGTCCTTCTGTCCTTCTGTCCTTCTGTCCTTCTGTCCTTCTGTCCTTCTATCCATCCATCCATCCATCATTCAGTACGTTCGTTAATTTGTTGTTTAAAAACAAGATTTCCCT